GACGCACGCACCGATACAGGCTTCGCTCTGTGAGCTTGATACATGCGTCGGTGCGTTAGTGTTGCTGGACCCATCACTACCTAGCGCTCATTCAAATTTAGAGTCATTAAACGCCAGGTCACATGCTTGCGGGAGGCACATTCACATGCTGGAATGCTTTTTTGTCATAACTTGTGTAGTCTGAGGCCACCTGACGCACAGAGTGTCTGAGCCTCCTGAGCGAGCTGTATTGCTTCTTTGACACTTGCAGTGCTCGTCAAACCATCGTCCACGTAGAAGTCCTTCGTTATAAATTGAGATGCAAGAGGAAACTGTGTCTCGTGTTCTTTAGCAAGATGCTTTAATCCATAATTTGCACACCCTGGCGAGGACGTAGCACCGAAAAGGTGCACCTTCATCCGAAACTCTTTGGGCTCAGTGTTCATTGCACCATTTTTCCACCCTAAAAGTTTTTAAATAGTCTCTGTCTGCTTCATACACATGAAATTGGTGGAACATTTTTTCAATGTCACATGATAATGCAACTTGATACCTTTTAAACTGATAAGAACACCATTAAGGCTATTCAGCAAATCTGGACCTGACAGCAAATGATCATTAAGACTGGTACCTCTGTATCTTGTGGAGCCGTCAAACACTACTCTGAGTTTGTCTGGTTTTTGGGGGTGATAGATCCCGTGGTGAAGAATATACCAGCTTTCTCCTTCTTTAGCTTCATTCTGCGCTTCCTCTGCATCACCTTTTTCTATGATTTCACTCATAAACTTATATATACCGTTCCTTGTACCTTTGGTCGTTTGACAGTTTGGTTTTGAGACTTTGAAGCTGCACAGTGGCCATTTGCTTATTGTCTGGTAAGAGGGGTCTGTCCTTAAATGGAAGTGGCATTTTATAATGTCCTTCAGTGTTTTTGTAAATGCCTTCCTTTAACATGTTCAGAAAGAGAATGTCATCTTGAGACACTGATTTGTTATCTTTGATATCATCCTTGAAGTAGGATTCAAGGACCTTGATTACATCAGCTGGAGTCACTAGGGGAATAATAATATATATATAACTATAAAACTATAACTGCAACTCTGTGACACGCATTAGACATGCTAGAAGAGTCACTATAAGACGATGTTGGGCCTACAATACTCCAGCCCAATGATCTGTGAACTGCATAGGGTTCGTTCTCGCCTCCTAAGATTACCTGCTTTGCAGCTAATGCCTTAGAGCTACTGTAGCCAATTAAAGCTGGAACAAGGAATCTTGTTCATTATTTCCTTGAGATGATTCCACCGCCTTCCCGTTTCACAGGTAGGAATGTGACAGCGGTTAACTGGTATACATTCTTTAGTGTAAGCAGGCGAGAGTTCAATCATTTCTGAGGAGTTATAGCTTCTTACCTTGAGACCTGAGCATTTGCTTGGCACAACAACATCTTTACCAAGCAGTGTAGTGAGCTTCAACCTTATTGGGGTGGCCTTAGCTTGGAGGTTATTAGACACATCTTGGTCAATAAACACTGTGTCCCTTTGCGTGTCTAGGAGGGCATAAACAAGACTTTCTGTACCTGGATGTTCCAATTCAAAGTATGCATCAAGCTGAGAACGCGAAGAATTCCCGGATGTGTTCTTGCTCCGCCTGTTTTATTGTGCATGCATCGGTGGTGACTTGTGTGAACTTGGTACAGCTAAATATCCCAGAATGCATTTCGTCCAAAACTTCGACGCAGCAATGGCGGAGAAGCATGGCTAAAAGCATTTAAATATTACTCTTTCTGGGTCACAAAATAAACTTTTAAGATATTTTCAGGCGTGAATGTAGCTGTGTAAACTTCAAATATCTGCTTGATTTATCAAGAAATCCCATATTTGCAAAAGTGCTCCAACGTTTTCTGAGACGTAGGTTAGTCACCAGCTCGATGGCTGACTGGGAGGTTGAGGATCACAAGAGACCGGTGAGAGCAGCGAACTCCCGGCACATTGTTTTCAACCCCCCCGCGGTCATTTGCTACTCAGGTTAAACAT